GAAGGTGCCGCCACACGGGGATCTGACAGGGTCTCCCGTGCACAGGCCCGGAGGCCAGGACAGACTGGGGCGCAGGGAGGAAGAGAGAGAACCGTCGTGGCTGAAGCTTGGAGAGTCGCTGGGCGACTACAGGGGACGCCTCATGGGGCCCCGGGGGCCGGGGCACGTGTCCGCAGCGCGCCCTAGTGGCCTGGAAGCTGGGTCACCCAGGGGACACGGGCCGCCTGGAGGCCTGGGAGTTCCGCTGACACAGCCTCTGCGTCTGCGAGTCCCCACGGGCCGGAGCAGGAAGGGGGTGGGAATGCAGCGTCGGTTCAGAGGCCGTTAGAGTCCATGCAGTGTAAGTAGGGACAGAGCGCCCCGCCCCCGAAGCTAAGGCCTTCCCACTGGGGGCGAGAAACAGGCCCCCATGTGCCCCCTGGGGTGGCGGCCAGCCCGGATTCCTGGTCCACGAGCAGCCGGCAGCCAAGGAGACGGCTGTGTTTCCTCACGGTGTTTGGAACCCATGGAAGATGGAGGATTAACAGTAAAAGTATTTCAGAGAAGCAGCCGTGTCACAGTCATATTTTTAGTTTAAGGAATCTGAATGTTTGGTGTTTTAAGGTTTCATAATATTAGTAACATTTGGACCTGTGACTGTACCTGAAAATCATAATGGAATCGTTTATTTAAACATGACGTGTAAGTTTATATGTAGCATTGGGATTGTTGGGCAAAGTCAAAGCTGTGAGTGAGTTGCCTAAATCCACATTTATTAGCTGTGTGTAACCTCAGGGGGCGTGTTTGCTAAGTCAGATAGCTGGGTACTTAAAAGGAAAGGTAATTGATTACATTTTAAAATGCAGTTTTAAAGTATTTCGTTGTTTGTAAAGGGGCCAAATGCTGTTGAAAGGCCTTTAAAAGCGATCGCTAGACTCGACTAGCCTTCTTTTCATTTGTAAGTTGGACATAAAAGCTTTCTTAGAAGAGTGAGCCTAGGTAAGGCACCGACTTCTCTCTTCTACGGAAACAGTCCTGAGCAAACTGCTTTTAAGAAAGAACCTCTCTCTCCACATCAGGGACCTCGGATGGTGTTGTAAACATGGGTTTTGAGAGAGAGGTTGTGGTCCGAGTTCAGTTTTTAAAAAGATCCTTCACGTGTAAAAAGATCAGATGAGCCCACGAATCTGCCGGTGAACGCGTTCCACCGGCCTCTTACCGAGATGTACGCCCGGAGTAGCTCCACGGAGGTGAACTTGGCCTGGGTCTCGGTCCCCGTGCGCACGCACACCTGCAGCAGCCCGCTGAGCTGAGGCGAGAGCAAGCAGCCCTCAGGCCCCGGCCCCGGCCCCGGCCCCGCCCTCCCAGCACCTCATCCCGCAGCCTTGGTTCCCAGCCAAGTGCCAGCAGTGAGGCTCGGCGGTGGGCGTGTGTGTCTTCAAACACTTCCTCTGTGTTTAGAAACACGGTGCTTGCTTTTCCCTGGCCTCCAGATGGTGACAGCCAGCCTCCCCACCTTCCACCTGATCACCGCCTCCTGGTTGGAGCGGCTGGGTGGGAGCCGGATTCCCAGGCTGCAGACGGCCATGGGCCCCTAGCTGCCCTGGGGGTGTCCCGCACCTCCCTGCCCTCCCTGCCATACCCCCTGCCCCCCGCAGCCCGGAGGCATCACAGGGGATCAGGTGGAAGGAAGCACCAAGCCCTGCTGCTTGCTTCCCAAGTGAGAGAATCTGGGCCCAGACTGGGAGTGTGGTTTCATAAGGTCACCCACAGGCACCCTGCCCACGGCTGACACCTGCACAGGCGCCCCTAACCATAGCTGACGCCTGCACAGGCGCCCCTAACCATAGCTGACGCCTGCACAGGCGCCCTGCCCACGGCTGACACCTGCACAGGCGCCCTGCCCATGGCTGACACCTGAAGCGAGGCCAGCCTGTATAGACACCTCCAGGCCACCCAAAAGCAGGGGAGCCCTGAACCCCACCCACCCGGCCCTCCTCCTGAAGCGCAAATGGATCGAGAATCCGACAAACGCAGCCCACGGCACAGGGACCGGGTAAAGAAAAGAACCGGCCCTGGGAGGGGGGGACCTCTCGTTAATACACTCGGGGACATTAAACACACATAGGCCGCCGCCTGAAAGGGGTTCTTTCAAACACTCCCTGAGAGAGTGGGTGGAAATTGAGCATCTGGACACATGGTTGCCATACCCACAGGTCGATGGAATGGCCGAGCGGCCAGGCTAAGGCAAGTTCCCAGAGGGAAGATGAAAGACGAGAACAGGAGACTCTGATACAAGAAAGGAAACGGGAAACAGTGGAGGCCCACTCGGTCGCCAGGCCTTTGAGTGATGCGAGCCACTAAGCGCTCTCCACTGACCCCATTCGAGCTGTGCTGTCCATCAGGCCCGCCCGTCCTCACACACTCTATGCGAGAGCCTCCAGGCCAAGCCCTCCCCCACACCGGGCGGTACCTGGATGATGTAGGACAACGACAAGCCTTTGGACGCGGCGCTGACAGAGAAGAAACCCAGGGTCACCATCAGGGCCACGACGAAGGTGACGATGTTCATGAGGACGTCCATCCTCAGGGCGAACCAGCGTAGGGCGCAGTTGAAGTACAGGAGGTGGCTGGAGTTCTCGTCATTGAGCATCTTAAACCTGAAATGAGGAGACGGGCAGATGGGGTCAGGGGTGTGGCCGTGGATCAGGGTCCGGGCTCCTGGAGAAAGCAGGGCAGGCCGGGGCGTTCTTCAAGGGCGAACGCGCTTTTACAGAAACGCTCTTTGAAATCTGCTGCCGTGGGCACAGAGGTGAAGGGAGAGGGTGCGTAAGAGAACAGACCAGGTGCTTCCCAGCTGCCCTCCCCGCCTCATCCCCCCCACCCCCCCAGTGCCGGACATGTGTGCTCAGCACAGCCTGACCTGGCCCAGCCCTGGGGAGAGGGGGCTGTGTCTTTCATACATTCAGGATGGAAATGTTAACCGGACTGAGCTAACCGTAACCAAGAGAGACGTGGGATCCAGTTGCCACTGAAGTTTCCCTGACCTGCTTGGGACCGCTGGTAGAAACCACTGGGGCCCACCCCCCCAGTGCCGGACATGTGTGCTCAGCACAGCCTGACCTGGCCCAGCCCTGGGGAGAGGGGGCTGTGTCTTTCATACATTCAGGATGGAAATGTTAACCGGACTGAGCTAACCGTAACCAAGAGAGACGTGGGATCCAGTTGCCACTGAAGTTTCCCTGACCTGCTTGGGACCGCTGGTAGAAACCACTGGGGAAAT